CACCCCGCCTCATCAGCCACCACCCGCAGCCCGGCGGCGCCGAGCAACCCGGCGCGGATCTCCGGGAGACCGCGGCGGGTCCCGGCCCTAGCACCCGTCGGCGGCAGCCCGCATTATCCCTTCTCACCTGCGGGAGCGGCGGCCCGTAGCAGCCCGCAGAGCAGCAGCAGCAGCAGGAGGCACAGCCCGCGGCGCCCAGCCATCCTCCCGGTCACCGCCGCCTGTCCCGCACGCCTGACCGGTTTCACCTGATACCTGAGTTAGGAGGCGGCGGAGGGCGCGGACGAGCCCGGTACCAACCCGGCGGCGGGCGGAGCTGAGCCAGGCCACATCCCTCCTCCCCCCTCCGCCCTTCTCCCCCCTCCCCGGGGCCGAAGGGCTGTGGGGCGGCCTGTGAAATGGCCTCGCCGGCAGGTCCGCTGCGCCCACCTCAAAATGGCGGGGGCGTTACCTCATCTCTCGAGGGGCCGCTTGGTCTGGCGCTTCGCCTTGTTTCCCGGCTCCTGGGCCTGAGCAGGTGCCGCGGGCCCTGCCTCTCCTCCCTCCTTCTCTCTCAGGTCTCCTGGCCCTCAGCCCGCCGGTGGGGGCCCGGCCGCATGGCGGGGGTGGCCTTTGCCCACCGCAGGTGCTCTGTTACCAGGTGCCCTGTTACCAGGCCGGAGCTGAGTAAAGGCCGGGTGTAGTGTTTGAGGGGCCGCGTATGTGGAGGAGGCCACGCTTGAGGCCAAGCGGCTGCTGAAGCGGAGCAGGCTGGTGCTGGGCCGTAGAGGCTGGGGGTGAGCTGGCAAGGAAGCGGGCCAGAGGGGTTGTTTCGTGGGACAGTGTTTACTCCTGGTTCTTAACGCGAAGCTTTGTGTGTGCCAGGCTTCTTGCTCTTCTTTGTTATGTGGTCGTATGACAGAGAGGCGGGAAAATGCGTAATGGCTGCTTAACCCAAACGCATCTGTGGTGCTGTGCTGGCGTGACCCGGGGTACAAAAGGGGTGTTTTCAGGTGCCAGCCTTGCTTAAACTCGGAGAACACCAACTTCCTTTTGGTTTTGGAAATAGGGGTTTCAGGAACAAAATTAAGCACAATGCAGAGCTAGGAGTGTTTCCATATATGTGGATTGAGGAGGTCTACGCTGTTCCTGTTTTACTAATGGAAAACGGGGTACAGAGAGATACAGGTAAATGCACTTGGAAGTTTTGGGTGTCTGAGTGCACATCAAGGGCCTCTCTTTTTTGAGTCTTTGTTATAAGTTACTCCATATTCAAAGCACAGTTCCTGTTCGTCATCCACCCAGCTAAGACTGTTTACAGATTTCTCCTTGTAGCCTCAGCCTCCTTGTTAAGCACCGGGAGTCACAGCCCATCCCTCCGGACTCTCTCCCTGCTTCTTTCGGTCTCACTTGCAGTGCTATTTTGTTTACTTTACCATTACAAGCTGCTTCGTGGGTACTTGAATCTCCTGCTCCTAATCACCTTGTCCAGTGAGTTGTAGTCTTCTCATCTGGCCTTTTATCTAATCTTCCTTTCAAACAGGCATGTACCTATGTGCTGGCTACCGGTCTATTCAGTGTTTTCCCTCTCAAATCTCTAGTACTAAGGAGTGGTCAGTCCTTCTCTCATCCAGTTCTGCTATAGTCGGTACTCTCCTGCCAGTGCCTAGTTCCAGTTTTCAGTTTGTTTTCTCTTGATTTATTCCATCCAGTCTGCCTTTTTGTCCCCTTTACTTTCAAAGCACACAGCTTCTTCCCGCTTTTGCTTGGATCCAGCAGCAGTGGAAGGGACTGAGAATGTTAAGGGAAAAAGATTTATTGCTGTCACTAAACAAAATCTGCTCTAGGCTGTCCCATGCCAGGTCAGAGCTGCAACTGGAGAAGTTCTGTGGCTGTGCATAGAACCAAGTGTCACTGCAGGTGCATCTTTTGGAAATGCGGCTCTGGACTTAGCCTTTGTTGAGTGTAAGGAAACAACGTTTAACAGAAGTTTATAATTTGGCTAGGTCTTCACAGGCAAACAGGTCAGAAACACACAGTTGATGTAAAGACCATCTCCCTTCAAAATCTTATAAGCAGTTCATTAGATTCCCAAGGAATTAAAAATGGAGATAATAAGAAGTAGTGTCAGGCAACTTTAATACCGGAGAACTCTGTCAACCTGCCTTATAAGAGAGACCTTACTACTGCCTTTCAGTACTTAAATAGGACTTATGAGAAAGCTGGGGAGAGAGTTTTTGCAAGGTGTGTCTGTAGTGACGGGGCAAGGGGTAACCTTTTTACATTTAATGAGTGTGGATTTAGATAAGATATAAGGAAGAAATTCTTTCCTGTGGGGGTGGTGAAACACTGGAACAAGTTGCCCGGAGAAATTGTGGATGCCCCATTTCTGGAAGTGTTCAAGAGGTTGGATAGGGCTTTGAGCAATCTGACTCAAGGTCTCTACAGGTGCAAGTTATTGATTAACAAACCACTTTATGATTCTGTAATGGTATTTGGCACTTGTAAGCAGTGGTTCCTGGTGTCCCATCTGTGCCTTGCTAACAAGGCTTCTGTTCTGGTTTTGTTCAGTTTACTCTTATTGAGAAGTTGGTGCCCGTAGCTAACATCTTCAGCAGGGATAATATTCGTTAGGAAGATTCCCCATTTATAGTCTACATATGAGTTCTGTTTCATGACTTTAAAAAGTATCTGATAGAAACTTGAAATGGTCTTTCCCCTGTTGAAATCACTGGGATCTCTGCACAGAGCTGTCAAGATTTCACAATTTTTAGTTGCCTTTATTGAAGACAACTGATTTGTTAAACCTATTTACAGTTCTAGTGTGCCATTTGCCAAACAATTTGGAAATAAATTTTAACAGTTTGTAAAAACGCATAAAGCAATTAAGTTGTTTTTCACAGTTGTTTATCATTGGAAAATAATTGCAATAAATACAACTGTCACCAGAAGAATAGGTACATGACTACAGATACTTATTAAACCTCAGTACACCATTACAAATTGGTAGTTACTTGGGGTTTCTGCTGTACATTTTTTTCTGCTACAAATACATATATATGTGTGTATATGTTGCTGTATAACACTATAATGAGTTGAGAAGAATTATTTGCACTTTTATATAGTGGCTTAATGGGAGTTTCAAATGTCCATGTTATTGATTAACAAAGCATAGCCGAAACTGATGAAAAGGTAAGTGAACATCAGCTCACAAATCCCAGCTCTAGCAATATTTGTCTGGAGCACGTTATCAGGAAAGTCTCGTGCACCTTTGGCCAAAGACCATCACTGGAAGCGCGTTTTTCCTTGCACTTTGAGTAGCTGACAGGTGTGCTGGCTCCAAAGGGCACCTACCAGGTATACACCTTTGGTCTTGATTCATTTTTTTAACAGCGTAATAACGTGATGTAATCATGAAGATGTGCAACTATCAAAGACACTTGGTGCCCGTTTATTAAATGAGAAACCACATGGATGTGGTTTCATTGCAAGGCACTTGTCAGAACTTGTGCAGCTTTTTGCTAGGATAAATGGGTGGGAGCATTTTCCATATAGAGAGCTTGTTTTGTGTGCTTAGTGTCTCTCTGGGAATTTCTGAATTCAGATGGCAGGTGTGTTTTCAATGTGTGGCTTATTGTAATCATACCATGTGTCTGTTTGGGGAGAAGATAAGGGATGGCTGTTTGTACCATATGTCTTACACCAATATATGTTTTTTTTAATATATATTTTTTTTTTTTCCAAGGTGCAAGAGCTTGATTTGGGAAGGGAGAGGAAATAAAAATCTCCTAACTTTAAAAATCAACATGTCTTGTGGGGATGGCACAAGCACTTAAAATATCCTTTGAGCAATGCAGTTAGTGCAAGGGTTCAAGGAGGGAGGGTAATGTTTACTTCAAATGAAACAATGTGAATAATTTAATTTTAAAACTAATTTAGTTTTTGATTCAGAAGAAGCCGACGTGTGTTTTTTGATGTCTTAACTTGTCCTCAGGGTAGCCACTTGGCATCTTAGAACACAGGAAAGTACCTTGGTACTAAGTTACTGCAGGGCTCTGCTTTCACAGTGGTAATTCATGTCAATACATTGAAGCCCTCTATCCTTCCTTCTTGTGCTTCTCATTCATAAAAGCCCCTGTGCTGCCTTAAGGAGTCTCTCTCACTTGTTTTCCTGATCCTTTGAACAAGTCGCTGTATTTCCTGCTCTGTTCTCGTTGGCCTTGCTGGCAGACTCGTTAGGTGCTACGTAGTGGTAGTCATAAATGTCCTTGTTGCTTTATGCATGGCCAGCAAGGACCCGAGGAAACAAGAGGGGTTCTGGGCAGTAGCTGTATATCATTCTGTTTCTCCAGAAGCAAAGATCCATTTGATTTCACTCTGTATTTAGGAAGCCATGTCCTTTCCCTCTCTTACCCCATCTACCCCAAGATTCTTGCAGTTTTTGGAAATTCTAGCCATGGAAAATTTGGGCTTTATGAGCATGTCATACTAATGTGCTATTGTGTTGTTACTGCTTGGGGTGCCAGTATGGGTAGCATATTAATTCATGGCATTTTGAGGCCACTGTGCTGAGGGGGAGGTAGTATGGGTTATTTAAGGTGGTGCCTTAATGGTTATTGGGTGTTACCCTGATTTTTCTGACCTGTCAGTAGTGTTCTGTGTTTGTTCCTGATGTTTGGCCTTTGACTCTTCCTATATTTTCACTTTTCTCAAAAGCAAGGAGATCCAGGGCTTGGGCTGGAGGCATGACAAAGAGAAGTGGCAAATGGTCTAGAACAAAATGTTAGGCATGCCCGGTGCGTGGGGGGGTAGAAACACAGAGGGCCCAAACCTGACTTAACCAGAAGTGGAAGTACAGCTGTGACTGCAGTTCGCCATGACCTTGCAGTAATAGAGGACATGCAAATTTAACAAAACAGCTTTGTCTCAGCAGAATACAAAGCACTGCTTCTGCACTTCTGTTGACAGTTGCTTAACCTGTGGTAGATCTGTCTTCAAGTGTGACTACAGCTACATTAAAAACAAAGCAAAACAAAAAACCAAAACAAAACCCCAAAAAACCCAAACCACAAAAAAACAAACAAACAAACAAACAAAAACCAAACCAAAAAGCCAACCAAGCATATTAAGGTGCCAAAATCAAGCTATTGAAAATTAGGAAATACTGTAATTTGTGCTGCTTGTGTAATCCTAATTTAGCATGCTTTTGCATATGCATTTAGTTATGACATCATATCCAGTCTTTCAGTGGTGCACTGCACAGAGTGTGCTCATGAATAAACAGTCTAGTACTTAAACCTCTACTTACATGTATAGACATACTCAAGATACCACCATATAGCTAGTACTGACTTC